AAAAGCCTAGGACTGGATGGATTCACGCTAAATTCTACCAAACCTTCAAAGAAGAGCTAACACCAATGCTCCTCAAAGCATTCCATAAATTTCAGAAATGAAAAGGTCACTTCTAAACTTATTCTCTGAAGTCACCATTACCCTGGTATCAAAAAAAGAAAAGCATATAACAAAACCAGAAAACTGTAAATCAATTTCCTTGATTAACATAAATTCAACAATCCTCAATAAAATTCTGGGAAACTGAATTCAACAACACAATAAAAAGATTATAATTATTTAAATAAAAAGTTTCTTAAAAAAAACATTAAAGTGTGACACCAAGAGAGACATCTGACAGGAAACAGCATTTTTCTGCCCAAAGAAAGTAACTTTCAAACCCCAGATATCCTGGTCAGGGTGGGGGTGGACACCTTGATCATAGCAGGAAATGGACTCATTTCTTTTTTTAGGTTTCATGGCTTTCAATTTTCAGTTCTTATGCTTTCAGATGTCAAAAGATACTAGCAATAGCACCAATGTCAATGCCAAATTCCTGGTTTTGATAGTATATACAGTTATATAAGGTGTTACCCTTGGAAACTGAGGGAAAAGTACAGGGAAACAGCTGTGCTTTCTTTGCAATTTCCTATGAGTGCACAATTATTTAAAAATAAATGTTAAAAAAAGAAAAAAATCATACAGCATGATCAAGTTGGTTTTATTCCAGGAGTACAAGAATGGTTCAACATATGGAGATCAATAAATGTAATTCACAGCATAAATAAAATCAAGGACAAAAATCACATGATCATCTCTATAATGCAGAAAAGCCTTTGGCAAAATCCAACATCCTTTTATGATAAAAGTCCTGAAGAAATAGGAATAGAAGGATCTTACTGCAATATAATAAAGGCTATATTTACACAAACCTATAACTAACATTACACTAAATGGGAAAAACCAGAAAGCATTTCCTCTAAATTCAGGAATGAGACCAGGGTGTCTACTGTCTCCACTCCTATTCAACATAGTGTTTGAAATCTTAGCCAGAGTAATAAAACCAGAGAAAGAAATAAAAGGGATATGAGTATGAAAGAAAAAGGCCAAATGATCCCTATTTGTAGATGATATCATAAAGCACAAAACTCTTAGAAATGATAAACACTTTCAGCATACAAAAAAATCAGCATACAAAAATCAGTTACTTTTCTAACTTACCTATAACAAAGTTTCTGAGAAAGAAACCAGGAAGACAAAAACATGCACAATAGCCTCAAAAAATTACCTACCTACGATAAACCTAACCAAGGAGATGGAAGACCTCTATAATGAAAATGACAAAACACAGAAAAAGGAAATTGGAGAAGAACTAAAAGAATTGAAGACATTAAAGACCTCCCATGTTTGTTTATTGGCACAATTAATATTGTGAAAATGGCCATATTATGAAATGTGGTCTACAGATTCAAGCAATACCCATCAAAATTCCAATGACATTCTTCACATAACTGAAAAAAAGAACCCAAAATTCATATGGAAGCACAATAGACCCTGAATAGCCAAAGCAATCCTGAACAGACTAATGCTGGAGGTATCACAATATGTGATAACTACAGAATCATAGTAACAAAAATGGCATGGTTCTGGCACAAAACCAGACACATTGACCAATGGAACAGAACAGAAGATCCAGAAAAAAGCCTGAGCAGGTATTGGGATCTGCTTCTTGACAGAGGCACCAAAAACCTACAGTGGAAACAAAAAAGATAGCCATTTAACAAGTGGTGCCGGGAAAGCTGGATATCCACATGTAGAAGACAGAAACTAGATCCTTATCTCTCACCCTGCACAAAAACAATTCAAAATGGATCAAACACCTTTATGCAAGACCTGAAACTTCAAAAGTACCAGAAGAAAACATCAGGAAAACACTTGAAGATGTATGCCTAGGCAATGGCTTTCTGAATAGAACCACAACAGCTCAGGAAATGACAGCAAAAATTGAGAAATAGGACTGCATCAAATTAAAAAGCCTCTGCACAGCAAAAGAAACAATTATGAGTGAAGATATAGCCTACAGGATGGGAGAAAATCTTTACTATCTATTTGTATAGAATATACAAAAAATTCAAAACAGTAAGCACCAAAATGAAATAATCAGATCAGTAAATGGGAAAATAAGTGGACAGTTTTCAAAAGAAAAAGCACAAATGGTCACTCAATATGTGAAAAATGTGTTCAACATCTTTAACCATCAGGAAAATGCAAATCAAAACTATATTGAGTGTCTATCTATCCCAGTCAGAATGGCTGTCATCAGGAAAACAAAGAACAAATTCTGGTAGGGATGTGGAAAAAAAGGGAACCCTTATACAGTGTCAGTGGGAAGGGAAATTAAGTCACTATGGAAACCAGTACGGAAGCTCCTCAAGAAACTAAAAACAGAGCTACTGCAGGATCCAGTTATACACTCCTGGGTATATACTAGAAGGAATCAAAGTCAGCACATGATAGAGACACCTGCACACTCATGTTTATCACGGCACTATACATAATAGTCAACTCCAGAATAAGCTAGCTTTCCATTAACATGAATGGATTAAAAATGTGAGATGTATATTTATATATATAATGGGTATTACTCAGTCATGAAGAACAACAAAATCCTGTTGTTTGCAGGAAAATGAATGAAACTGGAGAACATCATGTTAAGCTAAATAAGCCAGACTTAGAAAGATAAATATTGTATGTTTTCTCTCAAATGTGGAATCTAGACTTTAAAAAAAGACATGAAAGTATAAGGGGGACTATTTGGAAAGAAGAGTCCAGCGAGAGGGTGGGAGGACAAGAGAGGATAACGGGGTGAATGTGATCAAGGTTCATCACATGCATGCATGAAAGTGTCAAAATGAAACCCACTGTTTGGTATAATTAATATATGCTAATTTTAAAAAGGATTAAAAAATACCAATGTTGCATCCTGGGATAATGGATAAAACTTAAGTGATGATTTGTAGTCTAACAATAAAGCTTAATGATGATCATTAGTTTGTGCAGAACAAGATAAATGACAGTACCAGCAGGGCAACGAGTCACAGTGACTCAGTGGGACGCCAGATCCCAGTTAGGGGGAGAACTTCTCACAGGGCTTCCCCACTCTGGGTCTGAAGCCCCTCTAAGGTGGGTAAGTGGGGTCCACGTGAAGGGCAACTTAGCTGGAGAATTCAGAACTGAAGCAGGACAGGAGGACATCCACTGGCCAATTACTGGGCCAGTGTGGCAGTCCAAGTGGGGTGAGGCAGGACATCCACACTGGAGGACAGGGAGGCAACCCAGTATGGAGTGCCAGAATGTAATGACAGTCCCTCGAGGTGTGGTCCAGCATGGGTGTCAGAACCTGAGCAGGTTGAGGATGTCCATGTTGAGAGGTCACCTGCGGTGGGGCGACAGAGTCCAAACAAGATGAGAAAAAATCTCATACAGGGAATAGACAGGGGTCACGCCTGAGGGGTGAAGAAGACATCCCTGTAGGAGATAAGCATGGAGAGTGGGGGGTCAGAGCCGAGTAGCATGAGGAGAGTGACTACATACATCTGGCACAAGCAACCTGAGTCAGCAGAGCAATTGGGCTTCTGGGCAAAGGAGCAGCCTGGAGGCTGTGCTGGAGTACACACAGGTCAGGCGGCACCTGAACGTGGAGGTGCTGTTACAGGGCACTGGAGCCCAGGAAAGGAGAAAAGGGCAAGTGTGGGGGAACAGGGCTGGTAGTGGAGACAGGAGTTTAATCAAATAAGTAAACAAATTTAGGACAATGGGAGTCAGGTTTCTCATTGTTAGTGGAGAGAGGTAGAAATATGCAAACGGAGAAAATTAGAATAAACTTAATGGTGGTAGATTGAATTGGATATTAATGTCAGATGATAGATAATAGATAGATAGATAGATAAATAGATAGACAGATAGATGGATAGATAGATTAGTGCAGAGGCAGAATTCACTTGCCACTCTTGGTACTCCCCAGCCCAATGTTGATAAACTGACAAGTAAAACAGCCGCAGCCTGAGAAGATATTGATGACAAGGACTTTGATATATCAGGGATGAGAGTCTGGCTCCTGCTGGTCCCCCAAGACCAGCAGAGATATCCGGTGAGCAACAAGGAAATCCAGGATGGGGAACAGAGAAGGAAGAAGATGAGTACTAATTGTGATCTCTGGAAGTTGTAGTGTAAGCAAGCCAGCCTTTCTAGAATAAGTTCCCTTTGGACAAACCAATCTGACCCCTAGAGAAGCTACTGCAAGATGGGATGAAGTTTCTGTGTAAATCCAGTGGTCAGTAATGAATGGTACTGAATCTGCCTAGATCTTTCCTTCAAAACCAAAGCACTCACTCCCCCAGCTGCCTAGAGTGTTGACTGCTGATGGCTCACATTTGAGGCTCCCTATGGAAGTTACCTAAACCAAAGGAAACTGCCTGATCCACAGTTGTGTCCTCCCTAGGAGCATCTCCATCCCATCTGGGTCAATATGGAAGTACAAAAGCCCCTTGCCTCAATAAGGGACACCTCCAAAGGGCCATCCTAGCTTGAGCTTCCTGTGGTATCTAAAGAGGCCTGTTGTGATGGCCTCACAGTGAACATCTACTTCTGCCCAGTTTTGCCTTCCTTGCTCCTTGACAGGTGTTATTCCCAAGAACGCCTCCACCCTCCCCAACAAACATCCTTCCGTAAACCTCTGGCTCTAGAAAACTGGCAGAAGATGAATTCATGTTGCTTAAGACCCCTTTTAGATAAGAAAGTAGGAATGAACAATTTTAACCATCACATCTTCAAAGATTTGTTTGCCTCTCATTTTCATGACACCCTTCTTGGCTTTGTAGAGGAAAAATAAGACGGTCATATCTCCACTGCAAACCAATTATGGGTCCTCTTTCGGTTTATGCACATTGAGTTTGGAAATTATCTCTTAGATTTGATAAAACCTAGTTGCCTTAAATCTGTCTTTGAATTGAAGCACTTGCCTTCCTGAGGCGCTCTCTCACAATATATTTTGTAGTCATCACTGATCTTCTCTACGGCCATCCTTGGATTCTTCCAGCAGAGTTCCTCAAAGGTCATTTTACTTACATCTGAGGAGTAGGGAAAAACAGAGATAGAGTCTAGTTGTCCACTCTAGGTTCAAAGACTCATTTCTTTTTTCAAAGATAATGTCTTTTAAATGCTGTTTAAGTACACAATTGTTTTAATAGGATGCTTTAAAAAAAAGGAATACAATTTTTCTAAGCCAAATTAGAAGCAAGGAAACACAGTTAACACCTCCCTCACTCCCTTGCAGAATGAGTGGGTTCTGTCCTACTCTGGGAAGTCTGACCCACAGAGATATTTTGTCTGAGAGATGCTAGTGTGCAGGGATAGGACACCAAAGCTACTAATTGTTAGTGCATATACAGGAAGTAACTTATTCAGATGAATGTTGAACCCTTCAAAGCAGCCATCTGTTGCAAGCAAGAGTTGCAAATGAATTTCAGGTATTTTGCTATTAGGTTAAAATTTTGATGTACTTAAAGATAATACATGGCAAATGATTTGTTAGGACCTTTCTTGTTTTTGGCTTTGATTTAAGGAATTGATTTCTGAATTAACAGCTTCTATATCTGAATATTGTCAGTAATTGCAAATCATTGTTCTATTGGGATGAATTTTTTTAGAAGCAGTCATGCATCATTTCTAATAATGCATTGCAAATTGATGGGGACTATTTTTTTGTACCCCAAATGTGGTAGGGCAACAAAGCTGAGATAGCAAGAGAAATTTTAACAACCTACTGGGTAAAAGAAGCAGAAAATTAGTAGCTTGCTGCCTCCCAAGATGAAAACACTCATTTGTAATGAACTATAGAAATGAACCCTGAAAGTACAGTTTTTGAAAACACTCATTTGTGTTGAGTTCTGGGATTTAGAGCACACCTAGTTGCACAGAGTTCTCCTGGAACTCTCCAGATAGTTCAGTACTTTCTAAGGCTATATTGTCTAAGCCTGGAAGGACTCCTGCATGTTGACCTATAAAACACAGTTGCCCTAATGTCAGCATTGTCACTGTCACATCATCATCACCATCTGTCAGTCAGGAGACTCTGGACATAAGTGGAAGAGCTACAGAGTGTTTCTGCAGTGGATCCAGGTCTCTAGTCCTGGATCAATCCCTTCCTTGCTGAGAAACCTTGAGCAAATCTTTTCATCTAACTGGGATGTTCCCTCCCATAAAATTAGAAATGTCTCTTGCTCTTGTGCTCTGTGAGTTCATGCTGTAGCCTGAGTGGAGGTGTCAGCATGCCTGGGAGTCAGGGCCCCAGCTTGGGAAAATTCAAAGGAGGCCCTTGATCAAGGCAGGCCATGCTTCCAAAGAGCAGCAGTAGAGGATATAATGATGCTTCAAGAGAGGGAAGGGATTGTGTAGGGATGGCTCTCACCCCTCCTGGCTATCCACAGCCACCAAAAATGCCTGTGCTGGCACATGTGTGGTGACATTTATCAGGCACCATTTCTTCCATTTTGTTATGATTCCTAGAAGAAGTTCTAGAATGTTTAGTTTTTAGAGAGAAGGTGGAACCTCCAAGGTAAATAAAGAGGGTGTAAGCATGCTAGATTTAAATCACCCAGCATTCGGAACAGCTAGTTTTATATAGGAAGTGCACACTAACTATTTTTGTGGTGCTGGTGACCAATCCCAAGTTCTCAAGATACCAGATGAGAACTCTACCACTGAGCCACACTCCCAAGTACACTAAACTTTTTTTTTGAAGAGTTGGGTGCCACATTTTTTTGGTTATCTAGTAAGTACCATTTATTGAGCACATTTTTGTTGTGTAAATGTATTCTCTCTCATCTTCTGAATGATTCCGCAAAGTATAGGCCATTCTGCCCATTATTAGAAGAAGAAGTAAGTTTCAAAGACATGGAGTACTTTGCCCAAGCTCACAGAGTGAATAAGGAGTATTTTCAATGCTTTTGCTTACTCCTAACTTTCAGTGTAGGTCATGATGCATAGTACATCAAAAGATAAACTGAGTCATTGTTAGCCGTTACAAAATGAAATGGGATAAAACAAAAGCATGTTAGAGTACATAACCGTATGGCATAAAGGCACATAATTACACTGAAATTTTTCCATATACGTGCATATATACACACAGTCATATATTTAAGGAACCATGAGGTCAAATGTATGTCATGTGGAATGAAGTTTGGGAAACACTGCAGTCCTCCAACTGCCTCAGCATAGATAATTAAATAATAAATTGTATCCAAATTTGAATAATGAATAACATTTTTTGAACTCTTACCATTGCCATACATTGGGATAAAAGCTTTCATAGATGAGCTTAGGTTACCTTTATAACACGTCTATTATTGCTCAGAGTTTACAGATGAGAAATTTGGGGGGCTTAAGCAGAGGTTAAGTATACTGGTCAAGTATAAACAATCAATAGTAGGCTAAGCTATAACCTCAGACCCCAGGACAAAGGAGTTCTGGGCTCCTAACCACACGTTCTGGGTGGGCTGGAGAGAAATGTCCTCCAACCTGATTCTGGAAGTGGAAAATGTTTCCTTACACAGGAGTTTGCCCAAACTTGACTGTGCTAGCTTCCTCAGAGCCAGTAGGGGCGCCATAGTTAGTTTGGATTCAGATCCTGACTGCCACTTACAATGTGACCTTGAGAAGATCACGTCCTTCTGGCTCAGTTACTTAGTACTTATCTCACAGGTTATTTTGAAGATCAAACAAGGTAATTTTTATACTGCATAGTGCACATAGTAAATAATCACTAAAATGTTAATTTGTATTTTCCACTTGCCTATATGCAAAGGTCAAACAAATTTGCAGTGACTTCTTTCTTACCTTTCATAAACACTGGAGACTTCATTTCTACCTGGAGAGACCCACCTTGCCTCAGGTCCTCAGTAGCTACCTTTTGCCACTGCATAGAATCTATTTCTTCCATGTTAGACAAAGCCTGGCTTAACTCCAGAGATTCCTGAATCCTCTTATGAAAAAGAGTGCTCTCTTCTTTGCTAATAGGTTCTCTTTTGTGGCAATGGGATTTGATGAACCGGGTTTGAGTCTAAGAGAAGGAGGGGAGACATACAACACTTGCTGCAGGAATCAGCCAAAAGCAAGAGTTTTGTAGTAACTCAGTCCTCCATGATTACCTGATACATAGATTGTCATCAATAAGCTAAAAAAAGCCATCTCTCCTTTCTACACCAATTCTCCTCCTCTTCTAATCAAACCCATTTTTAAAAAAATGTTCTTAGCTGGGCACTGGTGGCTTATACCTGTAACCCTAGCTACTTGGGAGGTTGAGATTGGGAGGATTGTGGTTCAAGGCCAGCCCGTGCAAATAGTTTGCAAGTCCCCATTTCCAAATAACCAGATCAAAGTGGACTGGAGGTGTAGCTCACATGGTAGAGAGCCTGCTTTGCAAGTGTGAAACTCTGAGTTCAAACCCCAGTCCCATCAAAAAACCCAAATCCTTATTAGAGCATATTAATTGTACAAAGTGAGGGGTTTAATTGTGACTATGAGATTTCTATGCATATATGTAATGTGCCTTGATCATAACCCACCTTCTATCCTTCTCCCCCTCTCTTAGACCCCTCCCTTTTAAGCTTTCTGGGAATTTTTTTTTTTTTGGTGGAACTAGGCTTGAACTCAGGGCCTATACCTTGAGCCACTCAACTAGTCCTTTTTTATGATGGATTTTGTTGAGATAGGGTCTCACGAACTATTTGGCTGGGCTGACCTCGAACCTCGATCCTCCTAATCTCTGCCTCTTGAGTAACTAGGATTACAGGCATGAGCCACATGCTAGGGAAAGTTTTTTTTAAATGGGTCTCATTATGACCTTTTCATACATGCATGCAACACACTTCCCCATTTTTCCATAAGGGAGAATTTCTATATAAATGTGACTTCTTCAAAGTCAGCTCTGCACTGAGTCTCTTTTCCATGAGAGATTTTTCTTTAGAACACCAGGAACCATGTCAATCTCCAGTTGCCTCCAGGAAAAAGTCACAATTTCATTTACTTTAACAAATAAGCCTCCTCAAACGGAAGTACTCTCTCTTCCCTCAAATTCATGATTCCTCCTCAACCAAAGTGTCTCTTACTGTGAAAATGAGAAACCAGTAGTCCTCGTCATCCAGGAATTCATCATACCAAGGACTGAGAGCCTGAAAACCAAACACAACACAAGCATTATGAGGTGGGCGCTGCATCTTCTCAGCTTGTGCTCACCTTGGAGTAGAGTAGGCTGCAGATTCTAGGCTCTAGATTCTCTCAGCAGGAGATCAACTGACGACCAGCCAGCAGGTATTCTTTTATTTCTCTGAATGTAGCAGCTCATGTACCTATCTCAAAGTCTCAATGCATATTAACAAATACCCATTGAAAAAAGATGCAATAATTTACAGATCAATTACTTAACATCTGCACACTAGTTGGTTGCTTTCCAAAGAACAATCTTTGATTCTCCAAGTGGCTTCGAAAACCAAGCAATTCTTTCTGGTATATCTATCCATATCTCCCATTTGAAGACCTTACACATTTGTGAAAAACATTTCATACAATAAAACAAACAACCTATGAGTTAGTACTCAGCTAAATTTACTTATCTATATTCTTTCTTTCTTTATTTCACAAATATTTTCTGAGTACCTTCTATGTGCAAACTGTAGACTTGTCCAAGGAGCTCACTTTCCAGAGGATGACCAGCAGTGTAACACATGTTGTGACAGAAATAAGGACAAAAATCTCTGGGAGCAGAGAGAAGGTAACAATTGATTTTGATTGAGTCAGGGAATATCCAGCAAAGAAAAATTCCTGACAGAAGATTTAAAGCAGAATTCATGCCTTGCAGGATAAGGAGGAGTCTACAAGAAGGAAGTTGAGTAAGGGCAGGTGTTCCACTCAGTGGAAGAGCTCAAGCAAAGCACAGGGATGTGGAAGGACATGTTGGAGAGTGATAGCTACTCCATGTGGCTGAAATGCAGCATCCACAGGAAGAGCATGAGGGGTAGGCAGGGAAGATGGTTAGCCTTGTACATGAGAGACTAGAACACTTGTTTAAGCCACATGAGCGTTATTTTGCAATGACTTGCTAACAGTAATTTAAAAAAAATTGTCAGCTCAGCCCCACAAACCACCCCAGTGATGTTGCCGAGTGGTGAATTTAAGGGTGTATTTTTAACAACTTATCAAATTTCCTGAGCTCTCAAGAAACTGAAACAAAGTATATTCCAGAGAAAATGAAGTTCACTGATTGAATGCTAGCCATATATAATGTAATATAGTGTTATTGATTAATGGATAAACCCTAAACATATGTATTAAATGGGAATGATAAAAGAACATTGTCAAATGAATATAGCAAGCCTTACCTTATTTTTGAATTTATTACATGAGGTTTTGACCAAGCTGTCAAAATATTAAATTTTTTTAAATATAATATTTCCAAAAGCAAAAAATGTTAATTTTCCTGCATATCACACAGCTCAGTTGATGTGGAGAAGTTTCGGTCCTGTGTTATCATCAGTTGTGTTAAATCATTGTGTGACCTGCTGAGTGTCTCCCTCCCTGTCATTTTTAAAAAACATCTGCCTCCCCCAAAGCAATGGTGTCTAAAGGTAAAAGCAAAGTCAAAGTGGATGTGCTTAACTGGAGTGATAAAGTGAAAATCTGAGATTTGTTGAAAGGCTGCCTGTCTTTAGCCGAAGCTGGACAGCACAAATGAATCAAGCACCTGCAGTATGACACTGAACTCTAGGCTTCCTGAGCATTTGTGGCGGTCCCCTTAGAACCATACAGCTGTGGATACAAGGGTCTATTGTATCCTATTATTACTCCTTCCAGTTAAAAAGATTTATGACCCTAATAATATGTGAATAAGTTATTGATTTCTTAAGAAATAATACTGGAGAATTTTCCATTCAAAGCGATAACAAGATGTACATCAAAATAATGTAATAAGTATAATAAAACACTATCTTAAAACTTATAATTGTTTTTTGCTGTACCACATTAGGGTTTCCTTTGGAATTGAGCTTGTCCATCATTTGATAAACCCTTCTGTGTCCTCCTCAGAGCAGTGTGTGATGCAACAGACCAAGAAGCTACAAACTGCGTGGGGCCAGGTAGTGCATGATTTAGACAATCTGGTCTCTGTTGCAAGTATTCAACTCTGCAATTGCAGCACAGGGTAACAAATGGCTACAACTGTGTTTCAATAAAACTTTATTTGTGGACACTAAAATTTGAATTTTATATAATATGTGCATATCATAGCACATTCCTTTTTTGATATTTTTCCATCATGTAAAAAACATAACACCATTTGTAGCTTGCTGATCCTGCAAATATAAGCAGTTTGGCTATAGTTTGCTGATTTTGCAATAGACTGAGCAAAAGTCTGGACACTGGCTCTGCATTTGTCAGTAATCAGCAGTGAGACCTCAGGTCTTGGTCTATAATCTACAAAACCTCAAAAAAGATAAATACCTCAGTGTAAATTTAATGAAGGTCATAAATGACCTCTTCAAGAACTACAAATCTCTGAAGAAAGATCAAGGAAGACTACAGAGAATGAAAAGATCTCCCATGCTGATGGATTGATAGGATCAACATAGTAAAAATCGTATACTACCAAAAACAACCTATATGTTCAACACAATATCCATCAAAATTCCAATGACAGCACAGAAATTGAAAAATCTATCCTAAAATTCATTTGTAAACACAAAAGATCATGAATAGCCAAGGCAATACTCAGCAAAAAGAGCAATGCTGGAGGTATCACAATACCTGACTTCAAACTATACTACAGAGCCATAGCAATAAAACAGCATGGTACTGCAGAAAAACAGATATGAAGACCAATGGAACAGAATAGAGGACCCGGATATGAATCCACACAGCTATGCCCACCTTATCTTTGACAAAGGTACCAAAACATACAATGGAGAAAAGACAGCCTCTTCAACAAATGTTGCTGGGAAAAGTGGCTATCTTTTTTTTTTTTTCTTTTAGGAGCTTTTCTTTATTTTTCTTTTCTTTTCTTTTTTTTTTTTATTATTCATATGTGCATACAAGGCTTGGTTCATTTCTCCCCCCTGCCCCCACCCCCTCCCTTACCACCCACTCCACCCCCTCCCTCTCCCCCCCCAATACCCAGCAGAAACTATTTTGCCCTTATTTCTAATTTTGTTGTAGAGAGAGTATAAGCAATAATAGGAAGGAACAAGGGTTTTTGCTGGTTGAGATAAGGATAGCTATACAGGGCATTGACTCACATTGATTTCCTGTGCCTGGGTGTTACCTTCTAGGTTAATTCTTTTTCATCTAACCTTTTCTCTAGTACCTGTTCCCCTTTTCCTATTGGCCTCAGTTGCTTTAAGGTATCTGCTTTAGTTTCTCTGCGTTAAGGGCAACAAATGCTAGCTAGTTTTTTAGGTGTCTTACCTATCCTCACCCTTCCCTTTTGTGCTCTCGCTTTATCATGTGATCAAAGTCCAATCCCCTTGTTGTGTTTGCCCTTGATCTAATGTCCACATATGAGGGAGAACATACGATTTTTGGTCTTTTGGGCCAGGCTAACCTCACTCAGAATGATGTTCTCCAATTCCATCCATTTACCAGCGAATGATAACATTTTGTTCTTCTTCATGGTTGCATAGAATTCCATTGTGTATAGATACCACATTTTCTTAATCCATTCGTCAGTGGTGGGGCATCTTGGCTGTTTCCATAACTTGGCTATTGTGAAAAGTGCCGCAATAAACATGGATGTGCAGGTGCCTCTGGAGAAACCTGTGTCACAGTCTTTTGGGTATATCCCCAAGAGTGGTATTGCTGGATCAAATGGTAGATTGATGTCCAGCTTTTTAAGTAGCCTCCAAATTTTTTTCCAGAGTGGTTGTACTAGTCTACATTCCCACCAACAGTGTAAGAGGGTTCCTTTTTCCCCGCATCCTCACCAACACCTGTTGTTGGTGGTGTTGCTGATGATGGCTATTCTAACAGGGGTGAGGTGGAGTCTTAGCATGGTTTTAATTTGCATTTCCTTTATTGCTAAAGATGGTGAGCATTTTTTCATGTGTTTTCTGGCCATTTGAATTTCTTCGAAAAGTGGCTATCTGCCTTCAGAAAACTGAAACTAGATCCATGCCTGTCACCCTGTACTAGTATCAACTCAAAGTGGATTAAGGACCTTAATATCAGACCTGAAACCTTGCAGTTAGTACAGGAAAAAGCAGGGAATACCCTAGAAACAATAGGAATAGACAAGGGCTTTCTCAGTAGAACTCCATCAGCCCAGCAACTAAGAGAAAGGATGGACAAATGGGAATACATGAAATTAAAAAGCTTCTGCACACAAAAGAAATGGTCTCTAAATTGAAGAGACCACCTACAGAGTGGGGGAAAATATTTCCTAGCTATCCATCAGACAAGGGACTGGTAACCAGAACATACGGGATGCTCAAAAAGCTAAACTCCCCAAAATCAATGAGCCAATAAAGAAGTAGGCAACTGAACTAAACAGAACTTTGTCTAAGGAAGAAATCCAAATGGCCAGAAACACATGAAAAAGTGGACATGGGTCACAAACACGGGAAGAATAGAGAAAGGAAAGGAAACCTAAAACTTGGATGTGGTTGATGTGCTCACTGTGGAGGAGTGAACAAAGTAATCTTAAATTAGCAGAGGCCACTATGGGAAGGGGGCCAAGAGGTAGTGAAAAGTTCTGGAAGAAATGAACCAATGTGGGTTGTAATACACGTGTGCACGGAAGCAATGCTAGGAATCTCTCTGTATAGCTATTTTTATCCTAAACTAGCAAAAATGCTGTGTCTTTCTTATTATATCTTATGTTTTCTCTTCCACAAAATCAGAGAAGAGGGCAGAACAGGTTCAGCCTGGAAGTGGGGGTGGGGAAGAGGGTGGGTGATGGTGGGGGGAGTTGTGAGGGGAGGTGCCACAAACAATGTATATACACATAAGCAAATGTAAAAACAATAAAATAAAAGGAAAAAGAAAAAAAAGACAGAGGATTGGAAACTTCTTCCATGCCACTCCATGAATGAGGAGAGTCAGTGTAACCAAGGGGAGACTGTATTCCAAACACAGAATGAGAAGAATAGTGTCAGGAATCAAGAAAGAGGTGACAGGTCAGATAAAG